TGTGTGTGAGAGTGAGTGTGTGTGTGTGTGTGAGAGAGTGTGTGTGTGTGTGTGTGTGTGTGTGAGAGAGAGTGAGAGCGTGTGTGTGTGTGAGAGCGTGTGTGTGTGTGTGGGTGTGTTTGTAAGAGAGTGTGAGTGCGTTTGTGAGAGAGTGTGAGTGTGCGTTTGTGAGAGAGAGTGAGAGCGTGTGTGTGAGAGCGTGTGTGTGTGTGTGTGTGTGTGAGAGAGAGTGTGTGTGTGTGTGTGTGTGTGTGTGAGAGAGAGTGAGAGCGTGTGTGTGTGTGAGAGCGTGTGTGTGTGTGTGGGTGTGTTTGTAAGAGAGTGTGAGTGCGTTTGTGAGAGAGTGTGAGTGTGCGTTTGTGAGAGAGAGTGAGAGCGTGTGTGTGTGTGAGAGCGTGTGTGTGTGTGTGGGTGTGTTTGTAAGAGAGTGTGAGTGCGTTTGTGAGAGAGTGTGAGTGTGCGTTTGTGAGAGAGAGTGAGAGCGTGTGTGTGTGTGAGAGCGTGTGTGTGTGTGTGGGTGTGTTTGTAAGAGAGTGTGAGTGCGTTTGTGAGAGAGTGTGAGTGTGCGTTTGTGAGAGAGAGTGAGAGCGTGTGTGTGAGAGCGTGTGTTTGTGAGAGTGAGAGCGTGTGTGTGTGTGTGTGTGTGTGAGAGCGTGTGAGTGTGTTTGTGTTTGTGAGAGCGTGTGAGTGTGTTTGTGAGAGCGTGTTAGTGAGTGAGTGAGTGTGTGTGTGTGTGTGTGTGTGTGCGTGTGTGTGTGTGTGTGTGAGAGTGAGTGAGCGAGTTTGTGTTTGTAAGAGTGTGAGAGAGAGAGTGTGAGTGTTCTTTACTGCTTCTGTCAGGTGTGGTGCTGTGAGGGAGCTTGGTTGACAATCTGCTCTTCAGTGTAATGTCACAGAGCTTGTGTTTGATCTGCAGGCGTGTGTGTGTGTGTGTGTGAGTGCGTGCGTGCGTGTGTGAGAGTGTGTGCGTGCGTGCGTTTAGATGACTATCGACTCCAGACTGTATGTAAATGTTTAACATGTGGAGTCACAGAGGCAGTCATTACTCGTGAAAACCTGATAGCATCAAACCGCCAGCCTCTGATTCACGCTCGCCTTTTATCAGCATGTCCACTTCTGCAAAATTAAAGCAGAAAACAGCTATTTTAAATGGTAATAATATTTCACAATATTACTGTTTTTACAGTATTTTTGGATCAAATGAATGCAGCCTTGGCGAATAGAACAAAAACTTTTTTCAAAAACTTAAAAAAACATTTGTAACCTTGGACCACAAAACCAGTCATAAGGGTCAATTTTTCGAAATTGAGATGTATGCATCATCTGAAAGCTGAATGAATATGATTTCCATTGATGTATGGTTTGTTAGGATAGGACAATATTTGGCTGAGATACAACTATTTGAAAATCTGGAATCTGAGGGTGCAAAAAAATCTAAATATTGAGAAAATCATCTTTAAAGTTGTCCAAATGAAGCTCTTAGCAATGCATATTACTAATCAAAAATTAAGTTTGGATATATTTACGGTAGGACATTTACAAAATATCTTCAAGGAACATGATCTTTACTTAATATCCTAATGATTTTTGGCATAAAAGAGAAATGTATAATTGTGACCCATACAATGTATTGTTGGCTATTGCTACAAATATCCCCCAGCGACTCAACACTGCTTTTGTGCTCTAGGCTCACAAATATGACCCCAAACTTTCTGACCAGGTGCACCGCGTTATCACATATTAATAACATGTAATTTTTAGCATTTTTTGTTATTTTTCAAAGGGTCTATAAATGGTTTATAGATTAAATATCAATCTATTTGTGCCTGTTTTGGAATAATTCAGTAAGATTAAATACTGCATACAAATATGTGAGCTCAAAGCAAAAGACTCCTAAATTATTATTAAATAAAATGATGTAATATGGAATTACAATTTATTAATCACAACCATTGTGTATCATTGAGACACTTTTGTTAGTTTTTTCATACTTTCCATATTCATTTAATTTTAGTTAAAGTTTTAGTAACTTAATTTGTATTTTTTTTTTTTTAGATAAATGGTTTATAGGTTAAATATCAATATTTTTAATAATATAGTGAAATAAAATGCTGCAAAAATATCTTCATATTATGAAATATGTTAAGGCAAAACAAAAAACAGCTAAATTATAATTATTAAAATAATGTAATATTATATTTTAATATTATAGGATTATAATAAATTATATTTTTATTAATTTATATTTTTCTGTTTATTAAAATTATATTAAATGTGTATTAAATAATAATCATATCAAAATATTTAATTATATTTTACTTGTTTGGGAGTATAATGTAATTTAAAATATAAACACATCAAGTTTGTTCCTCAATATTAAAGGTTTCACTTTTTTAACGTTAGTTAGTGTGTAATGTTGCTGTTTGAACATAAACAATATCTGCAAAGTTACGAAGCTGAAAGTTCAATGCAAACGGAGATATCGTCTTTTAAAATTCTGGCAGGTTAATGCCTACAAAAACGGCTGGTAGGGACTACAACGAGTTACTTATTTACAGATAAACCCCGCCCTCGGGAAAAGGCAGCAAAGGGGGCGGGGCCATGCTGCGCTGCTTTAGAGAAGAGGAAGAGAAAACTAGAGGTGCACGTAACAATCTGTTCATATATGAATCGTGATTCTGTCTTCTAACGATTCTAATGGATTCACAAGATCCAAAATCAATGTTTTAAAGCAGCGGTTCATAATTACACTCATGTGCTCAAGGGTTTGTATGTTCCTCTCCGCTCGCAGCATGTGTGAATTTTGCTGTGTTTTTTCTCGACAGGCTCCAGATAAACACGGCATCACCCCGCTGCTGTCTGCCACTTACGAGGGTCACGTGAGCTGCGTGAAGATTCTTCTAGAAAAGGTACTGATGCATTCGCACATCCTCTCTCTGTCTGTGGGTGTGTCTGTGTCTGTGAGTGTCTGTGTCTGTGAGTGTCTGTCTGTCTGTGAGTGTGTCTGTCTGTGAGTGTGTATGTGTCTGTGAGTGTGTCTCTCTGTCTGTGAGTGTGTCTGTGCCTGTGTCTGTG